TAAGATCTGTGTAAATGCATATCTTATTGCAGTGAGATTGAAAATCTGTCAGTTAAATAAGTCAAAAGTGCAGGTTGCTGTTTGTTTGTAGCAGCAGGGGTGCAGATTGGTGATATCATACATCATTTAGCTCCATGGAAAATTCCACCTCAAGTGTGTTGTTGCTTAGTGACCAAGACACAGAAAACGGATTACATGAGTGAAACCAGTCATCCTTGCCTTTGCCCACTGTTTTTGAGTTGTTATAAGAATTTTGATCTTGTATTTCCTGTACAACTAAGCCTTTGTTATATTTAACTTGCAACTCTAAGATAAACTTTGTGTGATTCAAAGTCTGTTGTGTTTCTTTTCTCAATTAAAAAAAACAACAAACCATCATAGAATTCCCAATCCAGGTAACAAAATGGAATCAGAAAACAAAACGGACTCATATGAAGACAACAGAAATGTCAATCAGAGTCGCGAGTCAATCCTGAGTATGAAGAAATATTCCCCAGAATCATCCTCCCCAAAACACAAAAAAAACTTGGGAGAGAATGACCAGGACAAGGAAGAAAAACATGACAGTGTGGAGAGTCGATCGAAAACCAGAACCTGGCGTTCAGATCCGGATCGGGATGAGATGTCAGACAGAGAAGGACAAAGAAGTAGTCGGTCATTTTACTCCGAGGACTATGAGAATGAGTCTCGTTCAGCTGGCTCACTCTCATCGTACTCCCGGTCCCGGACTCCATCCCCTGCGCACCAAAGAGGGGTGAGGGCAAAGAGGCTTACTGGCAGCCACCTCTACAAAACAGGTATGTACAGCAGGAAAACAATCTATTATTGACTGATGATAAGAGAAACCTCCTGATCAAATTTGCTCTACTGTCCAGGTGATGGCAGTGTTAGGCAGTTTGTAATGAGCTGGTTTTGCAGACGGACAATCAGATTGACAAACGTGTTTTTAAAAGCAGAAACATGTACCTAACTGAAGTTTTATTTTAATATAAGCAAAGTTCTTAACAACAAGCTTATTCTGTCTTGAGTAAGGTTTGATTTTCGGCAAACTGTAGCTTCAGCTCTAATTTATACTCGCCACCGCTAGTGTACTTAACTACATGTTGCAGTATTGACCTGTTAAAAGTTTGTCAGTGCATTTATATTATCTGAACATCTTGTGTATCTCTATGCCTAGCAGGTGGTGTGGTTCGCCGGGGTCTCTCTCGCCCACTGCGCCTGGGCGGTCAGCCTCTTACCCAGCAGCATCGCAGGGGGGTGCATTCACAAAGCAAGGAGTCTACACCCCCTAAAGACCTGGACCTGGTGACCAAGAAGGTGCTTTCAGCCCGCCTTTTGAAGATCAACGACTTGCGTAACTCACTAGCTGAGCTTCAACAGCGTACTGATGAGCTGCAGAAGGAGAATCGAATCCTCAGACAGGTAGAACTGATCCTGTAGTTAAGCTTGAGTGGTCAATACAATCTTTTTCGTAGACAAAGGACATAAACATGTGCGTCTTTGTAGAATTATTATCCAATTAATCTTTTACAATAACATGCTCTTACTTCCTAATAATGATCATCTGTGGCCTTCTCAATTTTAAAATATTCTTTTCCATGCTGCAGCTTCAGGTGCGCCAAGAGAAAGCCCTGCAGCGCTACGATGACACAGAAAGCGAGATCTCCCAGCTGCTGTCGCGCCACTCCAACGAGACCCACGTACTGCGAGACCGGCTCAGGCGGACCCAAGAGCGGGAGCGAGCGGTCGAGCGGCGGTTAAAGGACAGTGAGGAGCAGCTGCAAAGGAGTCACGCGATCATCGCCAAACTGAAGAAGCTGGTCAACCAGCGAGAGCTAGGAGCCAGAGACGAGCTGAGCCGCAAGCTAGAAGAAGAGAAGACTCGTGCCCAGGAGGCAGAACGAAAGATAAAAGTACAATTCTTTCAAATTTTATTTCATCTACATATGCATCAGATTTGTGGAGAATGAAGTGCTGTAATATTTCAGCACATAATGTTTTCTTGGCTTGAGATGTAGCTTACAGATGTGTCAACTTGGCTGCAGTTTGTTGGTGTCAGGTTAACAAGGTTATACTATTGCTAGATAAACAGCCATCTGTCAGAACTAAGTTAAAAAAAAAACATGCTTATTCTGACCCAATTTGTTCGAATTGTGCAAATAATGTATTTTTCAATCTTCAGACTAGATTTCCTTGAAGTCATTTTTTTCAGGAAAGTTTTATTGTAAGTCTGTGTGTTTTAAGGAGCTGGAGCGTAGCATGGAGCTGAGCAACAGCAGTTTCCAGAGGCAGCTGGCTGCAGAGAGAAAGAAGACTATCACTGCCCAGGAAGACATCGGGACTTTGCAAGAGGAGCTTGAGCGATTGACCAATAAACTTAAGGTCTGTCTACAAAACAATAATCAAAACATTCTTTATGACCAAGCATGTTAAATCAGATTATTCATGGTATGACATTTTAATTCATATTAATCAGGAGAAAGAGAGAGAACTAGATACGAAGAACATCTATGCAAACCGCATGGTGAAACCCTCACTTAAGAAAGACATGGAGAATGGATCAAAACGGAAAGGTAAAGCCCTACTTTTTGTCTGTGTTTGTGATTGATTTGTTTTGAATTCTCTTAATTTATTTTTTTCTGTCAGTCATCGGTCAAATGGGTATTTTGGAATAAGAGTAGCCTAATTAATCTGCTTTTGTTTCAAACTTTTAAAAGCTCCCAGCAGGAACAGCAGCAAGGCAGTGCAGGCTAAAGACAGGTTGTCCAGTCTGGATTTCCCCACACCTCCCCCTGCCTTCACTGATGCAAACGAGTGCAGCGAACAAGCACCTGATGACTACATATCACTCAGGGTAAAGTGACCTTACCTCACTCAGAGAGGAATTCTTTTTTTTTTTTTTAAATCTGTGCCCTTAAGTCACGTATTTTGGAGTTTAAATTACAAAAAAATAAAATAATCATTTTCAAATGTATCCATTAGAAAGCTTCCAGCAGCATCATTTTCAACAGGCTTTAATAGCTGCATTGGAACTTTAAGACACTAACACTAATCTAAGTGTCTGGCAACAGTGCAGAAGGGATTCATACAAAGATATACTTTTTTGTTAAGATAAAATCTTTTTTGAAGGGCTACTTGCTGGTCTACTGTTCCCTTGATTTGTTCATTTTTAAGTTAACAAGGTTTTGGTTATTCTGTGACTTTGGTGTTTTATATGGGATCCAATACAATATCTTTGAACACACAATAACTCGACACAAACACAAACTCACCCCGTGAAGCAGTGGTAGGAAACTCTTGAGTTCTGTGAGGTAGAAGTGTTGTTTTTGTGAAAGGAGTCTGGTGGCTTTGAAGAGAGCAATGTAATGGCTGTCTCTGGTATTAAAATATAATCTTACTTTTCTTAAGAACAAAAAAGAATCATGTTTTCCTCTGTAGCATCCCCCTTTGTCTTGTTTATGTATTAGAATATCAATATCAGCCTATCAGTTGCACACACACAAAAAAAAAAACGCTTTCAGTGCACATGCTTGGATCAGATACGTTTGCCTCTAAGGATTGCATTGTAGAAATTATAGCCTGTTTTGCCTCTGCTGACTGAAGAAAGCTACTGAAATGATACAGAACAGTTTGTATCAGTAAGTCATTCACACATAAACAATATGTAAAAAGTACAGCTCAGCTTTAAAATACTGCAATTCCCTTTAGCCTCAATGTCCACACTTCATCATCTGCCTCTGTTTTGATCTGTTGCCTGCTCTTATGCCTCTTCCTCTAAATCAATTTATGTCAGCAGGAGCTTGGCAGTGTGGACAGACAGGCGGAAACAGAAGATAGACACCAAAGTGGTGAGCAGCAGAAGATGAGAGACATAGAAAAAGAAAGAGACAAGGAGGAGTTGGTGAAGGAGAAAAAGGAGAAACAGCAACTCAACCAGGAGTTAAATGGGCCTGAGGAGAAATCAGAGAGACAAGCAAAACGGTGGGAAAAAGAAAAAGAGGAGGAAGACAGAGAAGGGCATTTCCTGGTTAACGAGAAGGAAGACAGTATCAGGAAGCACGGCCATGTCCAGGAAAAGGTGGACAGATGGAACCACGAGGCTCTGGCCAATCAGCAAGTGGCAGAACAAGCGCGACGCAAAAAAGAACTGCTGCTGGCTAAGATGCATGAAATAGACCGTTCCATAAAAGGAGCCCAGGACACAATGTTCTCCAACTCTGAGTCCAATAGGGGTACCAGTGAACATTCTTCTCCTCATCCTCCTGAAAAGAGGAGCAGTAACTCATCCGTTTTCCAACTTACAGAAGCTGATGAACGTGCTGCAAGCAGGGAAGGAGGAAGGAGATCAGGCATAGAGGGTGGGGTTGCTACAACAGGAATTGGGAGGAGAGCGCTACGACTCCAAAACTCCGGTGATGACTTAGCATTCGGAAGCTACGCACCTTCTTTTGGAAATTCAGCTTCCAGAGGTTCCTCAGGTTTCCCTCCACCTCCTCCTGCAGAAGAAAGGGACTCTGCATTAGAAGCAATAGGTGTTTTCAGTCTCAGAGGGGTGGAGACTGAGAAAGGTGTCGGAAAAGATAGAAAGTCTAGCCTGATGCAGCAGCTGTTTGGTTCCCTGGCAACACCTGTAGGTGACAGTGTGAGCCCCCCTAATAAGATGGAGGTCTTCAGCAGTCCTCCTGCAACCAATGGGGTACGTTCAAAAAGGGAAGGACTTTTCAGCTTCAGCTCAGAGTCACCCACCCCTCCAACATCCTCTCTGAACACAATACATGTCGCAGAGAGCAGACCTGCAATACGTGCCATCTCCTCCTTTAATGAAGACGACATAGAGGAACTGACTTTATAAAAAAAGGGAATTACATCTGATGTCGTCAGTCTCATAGCAGGCCATCGTATCAATCAGTCAGTAACAAAGTGAGACAGCATGAGGTGTTTTTAAACTCTGAAAGATTGAGTCATGAACATAAAATATCATCATTATAAACAGAAGGAAACAGGTGCAATAAAATGTTTCTACAAAAAAGTCTGAAATACCAGCCCTAAATATTATACAGCACTAAATACATGATAGTTTATAGTTTGATGCTAGGTGAAGTATTACCAGCGACTGTGGCTTTTATTAGTGACAAATTGCAGGACATTCCTCAGGTGGTATTAGTTATTGTGGTAAATGTGTGACTTGTTGTTTATCAGACCAAAGGAAGGATAGCAGAGCCTTAACACAACAACCAGCAACAAACCAATCTCCAAGTGGCAAGGTCACATTTAAAAAGGTTTCATTACATTCTCAATCACATTTCTCTGAGATTCACAATTAACCACTTTTCCATATTTAGTAGCAAGACTAGCATGACATTTCTGTTATTTAGTGTCAGACTCTTTGATTCAGTGAACCACTAAACAATGCCACAATGTGTTTAAACTGCTTGCTGAATGTCTGACACTTGTATAAAAAAAACAGTTGTGGAGAGTACAATTTGACTTAATTGAGTCCTGTTGTTCTATGGTTCTTTATAAAACCCCACAAGATTTCAAAGGGACATACTGTTCTTTTTTTGAAAAACCTTTACAGCATCAGAAGTTTAACATGACAAATCAATAACTTTAATCCAGTTAAATATTGAATTGTGAAATTGGTCACTCCATATAGTGAGAACTTTGACTTTTGGTACTTTGAATACAATGCTTTTAGTTGTTTGTTCTTTTTTTCTTAAGTAATATTTAAATTCAGGACCTGTATTTAAGTGTTTTTAGAATATGGTTTTGTTGCTTTTACCAAACCAAGTCCAAGCTACTTTTGTTATAAAAAAAATAACTACTTTCTGTATATATAGCCTATATAAAAAAATAAATACCTAAATTGAGCTGGTACTGTTTTAATGTTCCATATAAAAATTGGATTTACATCATAAACACATGTGAATGACCAGTAAAGAAAAATATACATAGTAAATAAAACTTGTAGAAAGTAATTTTAATTGTTTTGTTTAATAAAATGGTATCCAAACAAAAATGTTGATGGCTAAGACAACCAGTACGAAAACAAACCACTAGGGGCTGCAAAAAGAGTAAACTATTACCGTTAGTGGACAAGGTTTTCTATTTCATTCCTTGTTTATGTTGAGTCGTAATAGACCTCCATCAAATTATAAAATTTGCATTAAATTAAACTCCTAATAAGCTTATGAAAACGCATTGGTCAGAAAAAAAAAACTTGTACTTTTTCAGATTTAAATGTTTGAAGAGATCTTTGTATTTATTCTGGTATATTATTTTAACTTTATTGACAGACGAAATGTGTGACACTTTTTAAGAGTTTACGACACTTGCAAACTTTATGCTAAACTAGTCAGCAGGCTGCTTGTGTTTCAAATGTCTCCACGTTTTGTACTTATAGCCTCGATGTTTTGTGTTGTTTTTGTTGGATGAAATAAATTATAGCAGGAGTGAATTGTTATCTGTGGCGCACTTGCATTATTATTCATGCGGCGGGAAGATAGAGATTCCTGGGGCGTCTCCAAGCAACCACAACCTGACGCAGACTCCCCGCCCCTCCTCCGGTAGCAAAGAAAAAAACAAAAAAAACAAGCGGACCGTGGTGGAGCTGTTTGGAGACGATTTAAGAAGAGGGGAGAGGTAGCGGGCTCGTGATGGTGTTCACTGATGCTGTTGCTTGGATTCGGGGTGGTTGACAAGTTGGACTGCAGCAGAAAAAGTCCTAACAAGGTAAACGAGCCACACGCAGTTTGAATTGACGTACGTTTCGGTAACACCTTCTGTATGATAGCAGATGTGCACGAGGAAGTTGAGGTGTACTGTGCTGGAGGCATCAATAACCGCGCGTGACATCAACTCTGCCCTTAATGTTTATACTGGTGCAGAAATGATGCTCTTGTTGTATGAAGAGACCAAGGGGAAAGACAACTAACTAAGACAGCTGCTTGAACAATTAGACTCTATGAATTAAGATAACTTGAACACAACTCTGATATATTTGAATTTAGGCTTGGCTTAGGTTTAGAATAAGGTCAAGTGAATTATTAAACCAGATATTTGTAGGAAAGACTGACTTATGATCTAACTGTGTTATTACACAATCATCATTTTCTGATACTTTTGTAAAGTTTTCTTTGTTAATTTATTGTATTAATCATGTCTGCTTTAAGTTAACCCATCCTACATGCATATACATTAAAAATGATATTTCAGCTTGTATTTTACAGTTATAGAAAACGCCTATTTAATTTAGTGTGTGTGTAAATTCATTAAATGCATGTGAATGTGAATCTTTTTGACAGACAAGGTGTTGTTGGTTTATCTCAGCTCCTCTATAGGCTCTTTATATAATGTGTTCCTCTTTCTGAACATACACAGGCAGGAAAATGAAACCTGTTCATACTGATATCCTGTGGTTAGACTGAGGAATGTATTGAACCAGCAGCTGTTTCATTAGTTTTTTGTTGCCATAATAAGGGAGTATAATCTACCAGGATAATTGGACGTTTGCCTGTATGAATAGCGTTTGTGTCAGGGCTCTTAACCCTTGAATACACTTAGGATCCTGTTGATGACTTATACATTATTATTTATATTCTTGCCCATGATACACTGTTTATCTTCATACCCTGTGGTTTACCATCTTTAAATGGAAATGACTCAGAGTTGTACTATGTTATAGACTGAAGAGATACACACTCAAGCCTGATTAGTTTCCCTGAAGTTATGTTTGTTATTAGGACATGACTCTATGTTCCAGAGAAGAGCCAGACTTCATAAGTCAGACCAGGTTTAGGCATCTCCTAGTCCAACACCTCAAAATAAAATCTGTTGGTGTGGCAGCACTGAAAGTCTCCTGCCTCGAAACCAGAGGAATGTTCTCAGTTCACATTTTAAATCACTTCTTTACTGTACGTACAGGGTCTTTACAAACTTGTTAAAAATGCATATGGCATGGATTTATTCTCCTCCCGTATTGGTCTTCTGTAACGAGTTGGTCCCCAGAGATACACTGATTCCTTTTAAGAATAAGTAGAGGATCCATTCCCCTGCTTTCCTTATTCAGCTACTGTGCACAGTCTGAGCGGAGGTCTTTTTGTACCTTGCAGAACAGCCATCCTATCATTAGATACAAGGGCAATGACTTCTCTGCTGGCCTGCTGTGCCCATTATGGAATAAATGAGCACTAACCACTTACTACAGGAAGACTTTGTAAGAGGACGCTGGAAGAGCTTTCTTTTGCTGCTCCTGGTATGAGTGTGTGCTATATCATTTAAGAGAAGTGAAAGGTTTACATGGTGTTTCTTGAGGTAGTCGTCCCATGCTTTATTTAGTGGTTGGATTTCACAAGATAAAGAGTAGGATGCTATTTGTTGTTGTGTATAACAAATTGTGTTTGAATTTGCAGTATGATAATGAATACAGGTTTCTATCCAAAAATACATTTTCTTTAGTCCAGACTTATTAAACTTTACAACTGTTGGATGGATAACAACATTTTCCATCCAAACAATAAGTCCAAATTTAATCTTACCCAACACTTTGGTTTATGAACTCGAACATGCATACGTTTTGACACTTTTATTAGAATGAGCTTTTGCTACTTTATATGAAGTGTTTTACTGTCAAATTTAAGTATGCTACACTAAATTAAGATTCTAAATAGTTGAGTTCATCTTGAGTATGTTATTAGTAGTAGCAGTAGTAGTAAGTAGTATGCTTGTATGTTAGAATTCCTGTGTTAGCATTTAGCTCGAAGAAGAGCAGTTAGCAACATTCTTGAATTGTTTGTGCAAGTTAAAAAATATGTACAAATCTAATGAGGAACATTTTATGATGAAAATAATGGTCAGGATCTGTGCATGTTGAGTGTAAGAGAAAACATAACTCAGCCAGTCCTTTTAGCTAATGTAAGTTAGTTAGCATACTAAATTAAGAAGTTATCATTCAGCTCCAAGCAGACTTATTGCATATTTCTAAATTATATTTGTAGGTTAAAATATGTATGTCTCATTGTACTTATGAATATATTATGAATACGATCTATTAAAGTATGGTTTGGAAAACGTTTTTTGAGAGTGTATGTAAAAGAGAAAAACTATCAGCCTTTGGTTATTGTAAATCTAAGTTAGCTAGAACACCAAACTATTACATTGGCTGTTGTGTCCATTCTGAAAAGCATTCAGCTCCAGGCAGAGACACCAGTCACAGCATTTTGGAGTTAGCGGTCATCTCAAGCAGAGACTTTCAACATTCTCGGGTTGTGTGTTTGTGGAAAAATGTGTAAGCAGATACTGCCTTAATGTTCAGGATTCGAGAAAAAAATTCAAACATGTTTTTTGTCCCATTCTGTGTCTTGCTGTGAAAGAGCAAACCCATCAGCCAATAATTTAACACTGCCAGTAAAAGCAATAAGCCCTGAGGACAGGAGGTGGGAAATGTCTGATTCATTGACAGTCCCTGTCGTTGTTGCTATGGAAACAATTTGTTCCTGTTAAACAAAAATCCTGGAGGTGTGTTTCCTCAGTGTGCTGATACTTCATTATTTGATGAGAGAAGCCACATTGTAAATCTTCTACAGAATGAACTTGTGTGCACAAACTCAACATTCATTCAGTATTTCTGATTTATAATCTTTAATTTATATGACCTTTCATATAGCTGAGACTGACGTGCCAAATTAGATGTGTAGCCTTGCTGTCAGATGTCTCATAACCTTTATCTCTTGTCATTTAGGAAATTGTTGCCAGTGGTCACAGAATGCGTCATACTTTGCTTCTTCTCTCCTCTGCAGTTCGAAACTCTGCCTCCAAAACATCAGTGGACCCGTTTTTATCCATTGAAGATCAACTTCTCTGACAAAAAACCCTCATACATATCTGACAACAAATGAGGCCACCAACTAAGAAAATATATCTAGTTTTTATTTTAACACATTTCTCAGGAATCCTTGAGTGCTGAGCAGATTAAATGGACACCTCCAAAGCTCCTCAGATAACACTGGACAGGGCTTGTGTCCTGGAGGAACCAGAATGTGAGGAAGATGCGGATTTGCCGGCAGATGACCATCTCATGAGCCTGAAAGCCTTGACTGAGAAGTTAAGACTGGAGACCAGGAGACCTTCTTACCTAGAGTGGAAGGCCCGGCTTGAGGCAGAAAGCAGTGATGCAGAAAATGGAAAAGGCCTGAGTGTAGTTGAGATTGAAAAGGAAGTGGTCACTCCCAAAGAGGCTGTTGTGAACTCTGATGGGATTCAGTGCAAGTTGCCATCAGGTGTGCTGAAGGGATTTGGAAACATCGATGAAGCGCTCAGCTGGCTGAGGAGAGAACTGGTGAGACAATGTATTAAGTTGTCATCTATTTCTGCTAGGAGTTTGCAAAAAAGTTAAGCATCTCTTAAAAGTTTTATATTCCCCCCTAATATTTTCAGCAGATAATCACCCTAATACAGAAATTCTCTATAGGCACTTAACTCTCATAAATGCAACACTGTAAACTGGCTACTAGAGATTCAAATAAACACTTTATAACTCAAAGAGCTACACTGCTAGTTAGTGCAATTTAACAGCTTAAGGCCAGAACAGACAAAACGTTTCTGCTAGTTAGCTATTAAGAATTTAACAATGAACACAACATGCAATTACTGGCCGGAAGAATCCCTCTCACATTAGTGAGTGAGATTGATTGGGATTGGGCAATTGCATCAGATGTTCACTTTCTGCAAGTGTAATCCTTTCTACTCCAGTCCAATTGCTTTGGACATTCACCCATAGTTCATAGGCTACAACTGAGCACGCAAAGAGGTGCTGTCACATGCAGAATCACACTCACACAGTACGTGTGGAGACAATATTTTGCACAAGAACAGAGGACAAGAGAGATGATTATGATGCTTGCACTGATGTGTGCACATAAACACTCACATATTTTCATATACGATAACTGAATACACAGATCTCTATCTTAACATTAAGACTGGAATCAGGATTAGACCGGCTCTGTTACACACGAAGAAATTTACATATAACAATTTAAAAATCTACCTTTAACAATCTAAAAAACTCATTAACTACAGTAACACCACATAGATCAAACCATTTGATTGATTTCTTTGTGCAAAACCACAACAAGAGTTGTCTCATTACGCTTGACACAAAGAGCAGGTATTGATCCCACTCCTTGTCATTTTATGTACAGAGCCAAAGTCTGCAGGGACTTGTGTTGGGAACTGGAGGGTCTTCTTCTTCTTCAATGAGCAAGTAGTGTCCTTTTGACAGGAAGAAACCTTGAGGAGAACCAGACTTATTGGTGAACATCCAGCTGCCTTGACCAGCAGAGAAATAAATAGATACGAACAAATAGACAAACGACCAGACAGACTAATGTAGAGGGAGCAACTACAGTATCTAAATTAAATAAAAATAACCACAGATAAAAGAACAAATAACAACAACAGACACTTTAAACTCCATCACTGTGAACATTTTAGTTGATTAACTTGTGTATCAATTAATCAGCAGCTTGTTTCAGCTCTACTCTCTTTTGTCTCCCTCAATCAGACAGACATGCGTCTGCAGGACCAGCAGCTGGCGAGGCAGCTCATGCGGCTCCGGAACGACATCAACAAGCTGAAGATAGAGCAGACGTGCCACCTGCATCGCCGGATGCTCAATGATGCTACCTTTGGCCTTGAGGAGCGCGACGAGCTGTCTGATCTGCTGTATGAATGTCCGGTCACCCCAGGGCTCGGCCTCTCCGCCCCACTGAGACTCATTGGTGTTACAAAGATGAACATTAACTCTCGCCGTTTCTCACTCTGCTAGAGGCAGTGATATGACTTAATGCAGGGAATATTCATATCAAAACAGCCTGCCTAATATTATCTTTGCTGGGGTTAGATAGCGTTAAAGTCCTTTGTGTATTTCAGGCTTTTACACAACACTGTAAGAATGAACTAAATGACAAAACACAGATTTACAGTGTAATTGTAGATAATTCACAAAGAAGATTTTGAGTGAAGTAGGAACATTTAAAGTAAACTATAGACGCCAGCTACTTTCAGAAACCTATCTGTCTTGACCATCGGGCCATCATGACTTCCAACAAAGTACTTGCAGTTCCACTCGCAGTAAAAACTTTTCAACAAATATTAAGCTTGTTTTTATTAACTTTTTAAACATTTCAGTCAAATAATTATATTTTATATTACTATATATGTGGTGGTGGTTTGCCGGGGCTTTTGTATCTACAAGCAAGATCCATCACTCACAACATAGATATTTAAATTGATTTTACTACACACTATACTATATATGATTCAAGGACATCCTTGTACTTAACCTTTATTGTTTTGTGTTTTAAAAAAGCTTTAATATTGGGGCTGCTGGTAGCCTAGAGGTCAATGCGCGCGCCCCTTTTGCAGAGGCTGTAGTCCTCCAAGCAGGCCCAGGTTTAAATCCGACCTGTGGCTCCTTTCCAGATGTCATTCCCCACTCTCTCTCTCTCTCCCTGATTTCTAACTCTATCCACTGTCCTGTCTCTAAAATAAAGGCAAAAAGAGCCAAAAAATAAACCATTAAAAAATTATTATTATTAAAACAAATTGTACACCATACATATGTAAAACATTTTCGATTTAGAACGAAGTAGTACTATCAGTTTTTCAAATCAATGAACAATTCTTTAAAATGCCTGCACTAGTTTGATTAAATTCCTGTTCTGAAGCTTGCCTTTACATTTAAGGGTATATTTAGGTTTTGGTTGTCACTTTGTACATTTTATGCTCCAATTGTTATGGCCCAGCCTGAGAGTACCCATTTGAGATGACATTGTCTGTTTGAAACCAAAACAAGGTGAAGTTTCCTGAATAAACATCATTATCATTCATCTAGATCTCTGCCTGTACTGAGTGACATGATTATGTGCACCTTGTTAGGAGTCTTCTGTTATGCAGGCAGTTATAATGGTCTTTACCATAAAAGGTAACCTTTTTTGTACTCACTTATTTTCTTTTGTTTATGACAACAGTCGGTAAAGCAACTTATCACATAATAACCAATGATGAAATGATAGGTTGGAATTTGCTTTGACTATACTACCAAGACGGTTTAGCTACATGTACCAATGTAATACTTTTGTTGTGTCTCAGTTTGCAGGGATGCACTATGCCACCTGGCAAGAAATTCCTTGCAATGTTGCCTTAATCTTGTTTTACTAAGCCTATAATTGACTTGAACATACCTTAAAACTGGTTTGGTTCAATGAAATACGGTCACTGTTAGTTGTAATATGATTTCACAAATGAACTGTAAATAAATAATCCATGAAGAAGTTGGATATGTGGCTTTTTTAACCTCAAGTTTGCTAGCGTCACAACAAAATCTCCCCAGTAGTCTCTTGTGTTTTCTCCTTGTATAACTCGTCATTCAAACATGGAAGACGGGGTCTATAATGCTGTGTGGATTAAAGTGCTCAGTGAACCATGAAAGTAGGAAGCATATAATAAAGAGGCTTGGATACAGTGAGCCAGCAATCTTTTTACTTTTTACTTTGAAGCAATCTACGACACTTGTGTAATTTATTAAGCTAAATATGGAGCTATTGTCAGCAGCTAGCCTCAGTTAGCAGCCTAATTAAAGACTGTACACAGCTATGCTTTTAGCTTAGCTTGGAAGAAGAAAAAACTCCTATTAGCACATTCAAGGTAGAAGTAATATCTTACACAGTATTATGTATGTTATATCTTTAAAAAAAAAAAGGTAAAAATCAAATTTTTGTCACTTAACTAGGAGTTACATTTCTTCAACTGTTAAATTATACAAGAAAGCCATTTCTTATAGGCTACATATGAAAAATAAACATGCAGTAACACTACCGCTAATACTTTCTGTTAGGTTTAGTTGGTCTCAGACAAAGCTAGATTAGATGTTTCCCCCTGTTTCCATTCTCTGACATTTTTCATGCCAATGCTTTTGTTCTGCCAATAACTGTATTCTGCGCACACTGCACAAAAACTGTGCAAACAGTCAGCTCCTATAGTTTTTGGTACGTGTGAAGACAAGAACACTGGGGTCATAAGGTCTTGCATGTGAGTGTCAATGTAACCCACTCACTGATCCCTGTGTTCCTCTCCATCTGCAGGGTTGAAGTGGCACCTCATGAATGACTCTGCTGAGCCTGAGATTTTCATGCATGAGCTCCAGCTTTATGTTGGCTTATCGCTGCTGAAAGCCACAACTCCTTTGGACTGAGAGGCTGCCAAAGGGGCCATCACATACTTTTTTTCTAAGTTCCTGCATTATGATTAAGGCAGTTTTATTTATTCATTTTTTGTTGTACTGGAGAGACATTACTGTAGAAATAAACCTATACAACATTTAAATTCAAGACAAAATTACTTCCAGAGAAAATGAAAAACAAAGTACTTTGTGGTCGTCTAGATTCCATTTCTGCCCAACAGCTGTTTTTAAGAATTGGCAGTTTTATTAATTTCATGCCTAAACCATCTCATTAGCATGACAAAATGACTTGACAGGCATAAAATCAGGCCCCATCGCTGCTGATTAAGCATGAGGATCAGATACTGTATCCAAAGCCACAGTCTTGATGCAAATATAAGACATCACATTGAGAGCTTAAGTAATCACTTTTGGGTAATTTGTTCATTCAAACATTCAAACATAAGCACAGCATCCAATTTAAGAGAAATGACGACACTGAAGAACTTTCCTACACTTAGATTTTATGGTTTCTCAATGAGGGATGAAGTTAACTAGTTGAATTCTCAATCTTTGCCTAGGGGGCACTTCCTGCTTCCATCATTTTCCAGTAATATAAAAAAATAAAGACCACAGATAGAAACGTCTTTCCCAGACTTAGCTGCAAACTATGGCATGAAAGGCAGTCAGACAGAAACCACCAAGGTGAACCACAGACTGAAACTGGCGAGAATCCCAGACTGCATGTCACGCCGAGCCTTTGTGTAGCCGCCTCTCGGCACATTCTGAACACCCAAGAACTGGGAAAACACATTTAATGCCTTTTTTTTCCAACTATGGCAAGTTTTAGGATCCTGACCTGGAAATGTGTTGACAATGCAAATTAATTTTCAAAGCTGACTATGCTTTAAATTTGAAAAGTTAATTGATGATTTAGTGGAAAACATTTAACCAGCAATGATGATTTAAATTTTTACTGCTGTGGTGCTGTGGTAATAAAAGCTAAATCATCTTTTTGAAGGAGGCCAAAAGGCACTATGTAGTCCAATGAGGCCACACAAATAGACCTCAGAAGTGTTGAGACTCTGGTTCTGGCTGTGTTGGTTGGTGGAAAATGGATTTATAAGGTCACTTGAACAGTTGGAACAACTCCATGATGCTTATTAAACTTGTCTTAGGCCTAAAAATAGCCTTTCCAAACTTAGCTTTCCCTGTGAGATTACTTTTGGGAAAAGCCACTTGCTTGCAGATTGTTTTTCATTTTGGATTAGTTTGTTCTGTGTTAGATATGGCAGGCATGTTGCTGTTTGATAACTGTCATTATCAATCACATCCCCCTTACAGAAGTGTAATACTAAGATAGATCTAAACTTTGTATGACCCCTTAAAAAGAGGGCAGGGCCAGAGCTCAGGGGAAAATGCACTGCCCTTTGTGACAAAGAATACCAGCACGAGCTGGTTGGATCCTGACGTGTCACAACAGCAGTCACATTTTTGTTCTTGACCTGTCAGTATCCAGTGCATTTTCATTACAATTTTGAAAAAGTGTGATTGTTTTTGAAACTCACAGTGAAGAAGAGCATTTCATTAACTCAAAGGATTGAGATCCTGCCTCATGTACCAAAGACTGAATTTGCCTGCTGGTTTGATTCCAACCTGTGCTGAAGATCCATTCTAATGTCAATTCACATCACATCGAATGAGTACACCAGAATTCTTTTACTTTCGTTCCTTGTTTACGAGACAAATGTGTTTCCTGTTTGTTGCAGCCAAAGCACAGGTGTGTTGTTGTTGACAACACAGAACATGTAAGGGTGAACTTACTATCTCTATAGTGATTCAAGTGACCAATCTGTGTCTATGAAAAATACAAATAATAAAGGTAATACATTATTAGATCAATAGTTTGTTTGGGCTATTTGAGATATAGCTCAGTATTCATCTAACTGCATCATTTATAGTGATGTATTTTACAGATGGCAATTCAATCAGCTTACAATTTCTCTATGTATTGCAGCACATTTAATTAATGTACAGAGTAATACATTTTTAACAAATTAGGGTCAATCGTGGCAACCGGCTTGCAAAGTTATATGGATGTTTTGGCAGGAATAATTTTAAAGTTTGAACATCAGGAAAAGGCATCTTGATAGATGAGGATGCTGGAGGAATCCAATTTGGTTTGGAGAGACTGTAACCTTAGCAGCTGGTTTCTATGGTTACTGAAGCTATGAAGAAACATGCACTCTGACAGGGTCCAAAAAGTTTTTAAATAGGCATAAGAAAACCAAAAATTGTTGTACTGTATCCCACAAATTCCTCAAACTCCACAGCTGCATAACGTGAAGAAAAATACTAAAGTGTTAACAGGTAAGCAGTGCAAGGTGGCATGTTTGTGCGGTGGTTAGCTCTGCCTGCTCACTGAGATGTTGTCTGGTTTATATCCTGCCCAGGCCTAACCGCGTAGAGCTCAAATGTTACATCTTCTGCCTACAGATTGTTGACCATGCTTTTGAGCAACGATAATGTAATGAAAGATGAATCCTGAATGCTGCAAGGAGGCACGTGAGTGTTGTGGTTAGCACTGCCACCTCACAGCAACGTGGTACTTGGAGGTAAATAGGCTTGAATAAGCAAGCACCCGGAGGCAACATATTAGTGCTTCAATTTTCCTCCCAGACTTCAACAAGTACACAAACAAGAACCCGACTCTTCATGAGGCTCATTGAAGGTGATAAAGTCTCACCATAGGGGCTCCTGTCGGGTTGTAAAGATAATTGGCAAACTCTTTTCAGAACAGCATGAGACCTTTCGATGATTTATTTGAATCAACTGATCTATTTAATAATGACTTGCTGTAATGAGACACTCTACTCAGTCTTTAATTGGATTAAGGTGAGAATTTACAGGAGGCCAATTAGAATTCCACCGAGGAATGTGAGAAAGCATGCATGATCAGTTACCAAAAATAATCGCTTTCGCTTTTGGTAGCAAAAACAATTACACGACTTTATCGCACAAATATGAGAACAGTGTGTTTGAGGGATGAGAGAGTCAGTGTTTGCTTGGTGAGATCATGGGCGTCTTGATCATTTCATCCTTTTGTTCAGAGGCAGACAGTGTCTCGAGGCGGAGATGCTATTTAAACCAAGGTGTAGTGTTCCAGTCTGTAATGCACTCCTTTGCCTCTGCTGCATTCCCTCGACAAACACTTGATTTTATTTTTTGTTTGACTTTAAAAACTTAGTGAAGAAAAATCATTTTTAAGTAAACCTTTGA